GGTTATTAGCACGGTTAAGTTATTTAACAAAACCAAAATTACTCAAAATTACTCAAGATGTAACAATTTACTTTAAAAATCTTTTTCTTATATTTCAGGACAATTAAATGTGTCTGAGTTCCGGTTGATAAATCTTATGAAATATCCTAAAATGTGGAAAACAGTTTACTTCTTCCTGTTTCTTGATCTGCTTGTTTATACACCAGTAAACTGTCTCTCCCTGAATATTTCTAATCTTATCAATATTTACATTAATGGATGTGGAGAGGAATTTCTCTGTAAAGAATGGCCAGGTATGACAAAAGCTCAACATAATCAGGAAGTAAACCGATGTCCGCCATGTTCTTGTTCAGACGATTGTTTCAGTAACAACACCTGCTGTCCTGACAAGTTTTTCGAACGGAAAATCTCAAAATTTCAAACTCCATTTTTAATCAAAAAGAATTCATTTTTGTCTAAATATGTACAGTATGCTTTAATCTCTTATTGTCCATCGCATGCAAATTTGGAAACAAAACTCCATTGTGAAAAGTTTAAGCTGTCTGCAGACAATGAAGATCACAATAAGGACATTTTTCCTGTGACGTCAATTTTAACTAATTATTCTTATGCTAACCGCCATTGTGCATATTGTCACCAAGAAGCGTCTGATAATTTGAGAAAATGGGATATTGCTTTCACCAAAAGTGAATCCTATTATTTTAATTTCATCAGTTCTTTCTCTGATCTTCTCTCATTGCATGCAAAATATTTTTTGACAGTAACTTTTTCTCCCCCAAATGATTTAAAGGACAGGGTAATGATTAGACAAACTTATTTGGAGTTTGATGACATTTTTTTGTCTAATGACATTATCCAGGAGAATGACGATATCACTGTTGCATGTAGGTCTTCGTATGTACTGCCTTATAGAACATACAAAAATGTCTTCTGCTATCTGTCCTATTTAATCAGAAGTCAAGAATTTGATGTTGATTCCGTGATATCAGCGTGTAATGTGACGTCATTGTGGAACATATATGATTTATCAGTAGAAAGAGCCTGTCTTGATAACCCAGTGTCATATTTGACAATTCCTTATAAAAATGTCTATTGTTACCGATGTAATATGCCGTTATTGAATACTGTATCAACACCCGCTGTACCGTTTCAACGCACAAGAGCTACTTATAGTGATTTCTCAGCATCATTCCATGAAAATAGGATATCCAAAACAACAAGCTATCTTAGAATTGAGGACATAAAAATCCACCCCAGGTTTATTTCTGAAAGCATCCATTCTTTGCCAATTGACATGTTTACTTTTGATAGAACCACAACTGTTAACACTAATTTAACTCAGGAATTAATTTCGCTTAGTCATGGAGGCGTTTGCCGCTCAGGTTTTCCAGACGCTTGTGATTGTTCACCTACCTGTTTCTTTCACAATAAATGTAATTGTTGTATTGATACTGCAATACAAAATCCAATTACTTGTGTACATGAATATAATGGTGTCAAACATGAACCGATCGCAGTCATAAGTCATTGCTTCAATAGTGATCTAAAAGTCAGGAATGCCACTATGTTCGAAAAACTAAATGTGCTTTGCACAACCTGCACTGGACGATTTGGTTCCTTTCCTATTATGCATAATGAGATATCTTACAAAAACATCTTCTGTTTTCTATGTAACAATTTTATTCCCGAAGATAACAAGTTCATAATGAGTGAATACAAAACAACTACTGTTGAATTAAGATGTGATCTTCATAAGCCGTCCCTATATTTTATTTCCTTTAATTATATTTTTGAGGTTGCTTATTCGCGGAAGTGCACGATACGAATAGGAGCACTTGGAATGCCTGTTTGCCCTGAAAAGAAGACATTTATGAATCATTGCTACAAACATGGAAAAATGCGATCAATGATATATATGACAGATTGCAAACCAAAAGTCTTGCAATCTATGAATACTCCAAACAAGAATCAAAATCATTCTTGTATCTGTAGGGGAGGTTCAAAAACTAGTGAGTTTTTTTTTGCAAATGACCTAGTTTATTGTTCGACATATAAATCCGACTGCATGCATTGTGAATCATGTTCTACAAAATTTCCTGATATGTGTAAGTCAATAAAAAGTCCTGGAATTCCAACCAAGCAACAGTTAATGAAGCATTTATTTCTTCCAGAATTGCACCTTTCTAGTTCATCTTTTTCGACACCATCATTTGTAAGTAAATTGTTGATGTATCGAGGTAATTTTATGTAAGGTTAACGTGTAAAGTACATTTTTTTGAAAGACACCATTTATTGATCGACATACCAAAAACGATTGCGTATCACGTGTCATTTGTTTTACCAGATTCCTTGTGCAAGTCTGTAATTCCTAATTTTTAAATTAATTATTGAGATTAGTTATATAGAATTAAAAATTTTCTATTCTATATCTTTAACAACATGTCTTAGCAAATCTGACGTCAGTAAAATCAGTGTGAGGATTATTCTGGATAGAAAGGGGGTCTATTGTTTATAAAGTCAAAGTTTTATCTCTTTGAGAAACTTTTTTGTTTCTAGAAATTTTCTTGCTAAAACTAGCGCATATTTGTTGGGATCAAAATTTTCTCCAACAAAGGTGTCTGTAACATTATAGCCCGAAGGTCAGGGTTTCCTGTGGAAGTGGGAGAAGGTTGTTTTATTTAAAAATGAAAGTGTATTATTGTTTTTCACAAAAATGATTTTCGAATTTAATTTCTAACGGACGTAAATTATAGAGTGTATTTCTTTAAGACTTTTGACAAGGATTTTATCATCATAAATTTGAAGGCGAATAATGATTTTCATGAGTGGTCCTTCTCTACAAACAATTTAATTTTAAATTCATCAAGTATTTATTGGAGTATTCGGAAATTCTTCGTTTTAAAACCTAGAAGAAGTTTACTTAGAATAAGAGGCACTGCGATTTCAATTCTAAAGTAATTGCAAATTAAGAGGTTTATGTAAAATATTCATAAAATATAAATGATTTCCATTCTTTTTTTTCAGGCATCCAATCAAACATGTTACCCGGGAAGAAAAATGGTTGGCGATAAATGTCAATTGTTCTCTTCGGTTGGATATTCGATGAATTATGCTGGTAATATTGAGGTACATGTAATTGTACACACAACGGAAAAGATATTAGAAGTTTGGTTGAAAGACGTCAGGGAAAGTGTGCGAGCAAAATTAACAACAATTTATAAAACTCAAGATGGAACAATTACAGACGTCTTTTTTCTTCCCAGAACCAGAGCTATTCTCTCAACTGCAGATTCCAAAGGGAGATTTGCCTACGAGATTTTGGCATACGTTCATTATAGACTTTATTTTTATTCTCAATATGATCGTAAGACAGTGGAAGAGGAATTTTGGGGTCTATATAAACTGTTATCCATCAACAAAAGTTTATCTTTAAATACCACATTAAAGCTGTCTGGAAAATCACAAGCAACTCTAAAGGACACAGTAGAAGGTTCTTCGTCGTGGTTTGCATCAGAAAAAGAAAGATTCTTAAGATATTGTAAAATCGAGTATCAAAACACATTTACCACCCCTTTTCTTCTAAATTTTATCTCAGACATTCTTCATTGTCCTCATGAAACTTTTTTAGTATATCTTAGAGATAGGTTAGAAATGCTTACAACTGTATGCAATTCACTAAGCATGATATGTATAGCTACATTATTAACAATATTTTTAATTGTGCCAGATTTGAGAACCTTTCCGGGAATTAATATGATGAATGTCCTCATCTCTCTGTTCTTTATGCAGCTGTCATACACCATTTCACACTCGTTTCAGCATATCAGAGCACTTTGTATAAGTTTTGGGATTCTTCTTCATTATTTCTGGTTAGCCCTTTGTTGTGCTCAGTTCTTCTGTTGTCTTCATATGTTTCAAACCTTTGGATATAACTTAAAAAGCAGTTTAGTGGGTTCTTCTCATAAAAGTATGAAAAGAAATCTCTTAATGACCTATTTACTACCTATAGGTGTGGTCTTGGGAAACATGGGTATAATTTACGCCTACAGCCGTGAAATTGGATATGGTTCCAGATTTTGTTTTGTGGAAAACATGATTTCAAACATTGTGACGTTCATTTTGCCGCTTACAGTCACTTGCTTCGTGAACTTTGTTTTCTTTGTTTTATCTGCTATGACAATTGTATGTTCTGAAAAAATTCAGTCTTCGGTTGAAAACAAATCTTACATTATTCCTATAATCAAACTGTTTACTACCACGGGATTGGTTTGGGTTTTACAGATTATCGATGGGTTTCTACCCATTTCTACCTTTTCTTTCTTCACAACTCTCCTGACGTCTTCTCAAGGATTCATAATATTTGTAAGCTTTGTTTCTTCTGCAAAAGTTATCAGACGCTTGAGGAATGTTGTCAGCGAATTTCCAAGAGATTTGGGTCTACCCGATAGACAATGGTAGCTAACTACAAGGAAATTACTGATAAATCCGCATATTTTCTTAACTTAGGTTCATATGCCGGTATTGTTTATAGAGAACTATGTTGTAAAACCTCTAGTAAACGGAATGTTGTCATCTATCAAGTAGAATGTGAAAAAAAAATGTTTTTTTACAAGTAATCTTGTTTTTGTAGATTTTACAAATTCAATGTTTTGTGTTGTTTTTTTTTTTTTTTTTTTTTTTTTTTTTTTTGTAATATGGGTGTATTGGATTGTATTATTGTTTTGTAAATCTTAACATTGTTCTGTATGAAATATTGTTATTTGTAACAATACATGTAATTTCTATTAACTTTGTTTAATAAATATTAAAATTGAATCAATCTCTTGTCAAAGCCATTTTTTTCTTCTTATGGATAGAATAAATATGATTGGATAAAGATCCGAAGGATTCAAATCCATTTTGATCAAAAGTAGGAATATTTTTTAGTAAACCGTTCTTCTTGAATTTAATTGTCTTTTTTTCTTATTTGTCAAAGAGAGAATATCTACTATGCTTAATACCTGGATATTTCTACGAATTCTTTCTGGAGTAACACTCTTTGGAATTACAATAATACTTTTTTGGATGAGATTTCGAAGTAAAACCTGTTAAGGAAAATATGAAAAAAACTATATAATCCACAATATACGTAGATATTAAATAATATTTACTTCAACATCCATGATTGTCTTAATTCTTTTTAAATGCACCTGTGCAGGAGTTTTTCCATACTTTTTGGCTATTTTCTTAAGGATAAGGTCTTCTAGAGCAACCAATTCATCTGCTTTTTTACTAAAAAAAAAATTAAAAAATCCCCACATAAAAGACTTCTTTTGAGATTTTATTTCTTACCTCTTTTGAAATTTATTGAAAATGGGAAAAAAGTTATCAATAGTATGTGATATAGACCGGACGTACGTGTATCGCCATAATATTTATTTTTGATATACTGTAAATATTTGTTATATGTTTCAGACTCAGAACAATTAAAAACCACAAAAACTAGTACACTCTAGTAAGATTTCTTGTTTAAATAACCTTCAAAGCTCCCCGTTATTAATGTATAAATTTCAATTTTAATGATAGTCATGGATACACTCTTCTTTTGAACTTTACGTTTTAAAATAAATGTGTATGTCTTGAATAACTATTTCGGCAAGCAAAGAAAAAAATTGTAAAGTCGAAAAAGCTTTGGTAATTTTTGAAATGAATGTTTTATTCAAATATATATTTGAATTCATCATAATTTATGTAGCTTCACTACAATAAAAATACTTTATAACAATAGAAATAAATTAAAATCTTCGTCAAAAGATATGATTTTACGTCAATAGAACGCTTTGTTATATCCTTAATTCTTTATCAATAATTTATTATAAACTCAGTACATCAACGACTTTCATAAATGTTTTGATTTAAACAAAATGTTTGTGGTACTCACAGACGTTCAGGCCTTCCTGTAGATCCTTTAGGAGCGTAGGCTGTTAATGTAACGCCAAGCTTCTTACATACCTCAACCAACTCTTTCTGTGACCAATTTTTGTTACATTCCACCTGTGAAGAAAACTAAATCTTTACGCAGCGGACATTTATCCACAAAATACATGACATCTTTCATTGAAATAAACAAATTTCTTTAGAAGTTGATTCGGCAATTCACTTTTTATCTGCGTAATAACACGAGACAATAAGCTCGCGAAAATTTAATTCTTGCGTATAAAAGTATTCATTAAGATTACACAGAGGAAAACAACAATTCGTGAAAATTATGTCTAGCTAATAAAGAGTCAACGACTATCTCGCAAAATTATGCTGTCGCCAAAATTTTGTGATCTACAGTTTCAAGGTTGGTTAAAAGTAAATTAAATCATATGTAATATAAATGAAAATGGATACACTAACTCACTTTGTTTGTAACAGGTTTGTGTTTGGCCACCCTGCAGATTCTTTCGATTTGAGAGATACTAAAATTTGACACTCCAATGGATTTAGTTAACTTAAGATCTAAAAGTTCCTCCATTGTTTGTAAAGTGTGCGATATTTCTTTAATCATTTTATATAACAAATAATAAGCAATCTTTTTTTCATGCTTTGTCAATATAATAAATTTATTAACACAGGACATATTCTTTACCGTTCATTTGACTGAAAGGTGGCTAATTAAGGTTTACTGAAAGTTGACTAAAAGTTGAATGAAAAGTGACTAAAAGTTATCTGAAAGATGAAAATGTTTACTGAATGGTGAATAAACGTCTTTGAATAAAGTATATGGATATAACGAACAGTATTCAAGATCATAAGTCCATAAAACAAAACAAAATAGGAGTAGATAAACACGGACCTCCAAAACATCAGAGGTGGGATCAGGCGCCATGGAGGAGTGAGCATCCCCTGCTAACCGGTCACATCCGCCGTCTGCTTCTTGTCATGATCGGGAAATAATGGAAAAATCCGTCGTCAATTCAGTGTATAAATAATGGACTAACAATCAGTATGAAAAACGTCAGTCAGCATTTGACTTAATGATAAATTGTATTTCATGACAAAGCTATTGTATCGACCATAGAACTTACGAAATGATGACTTTAAATGAGAATGATGATATTCTTGTTTCATCAACTTGTTTGTTAATAATTTGCCTCGTTTTAGAAATTGTACATACGTAGAGCATGCACTTGCGTATCGAATCAACGGAGATCTATAAACTCCGTAAGCAGGTGATGAAGGTATATTACATAAGTAAGGGAAGTTGACGATCAAAAAGTTAAAGTCATCACGTTTATCATAGAGCTTGGTTGTTAGATTAACATTGACGTCTTTTTCAAGTAAAATATCCAAACATAAAACAGATGTGTCCCACTCTGTGGTATCTTTTACACCAATCTCACCAGGATATAGCGAATCGACACAAGAATAGAAATTACAATTGTTAATTGATAATACGTCGTCGATATATGTAAGTGTCGAGTTGAAGGCCACAGCAAGTGTTTTCTTCTTTCCACGCATAAGAGTTAGCACAAATTCTGCTTCAAATGAATTCGAAAATAGGTCTGTTAATAACGGGGCGCAATTGGTTCCAATGGAAATTGATTGTCTCCAAAAACATAGATGTTGTCAATCAGGAACTCAAGCATCTTTTTGATGTCGACTTCAGAGTACTTGTGTGTACAATCAGAATGTTTTTAACCAATATTTTTGCAAATGACCAATGACAAGGTAAGTAAATATTTACGCGTTCCATTTATATTCTGAAAAGCATCTGTCAATGATGTCAAAAAGAATTGATTTTAATTTATCGTGAGGAATGGTTGTGTATAAAGCTGAAAAGTCGTAAGATTTTAAGATATTGATTTTGGTAAAATCTTGTGATTTCAAAATGTCCGATAGATCCTTGGAATTTTTAAGTAGTAAAGGTCTTTATTTTAATTTGTGACTTATCATCTGGCATAATGTTTTTGATGACGCAGCTTGAAAGATGAGGGTTATCTACATTTTAGTCATATATAATTTATGGTCCTCATTATATTATAAACTGTATTTACGTCATCAGTTAATAAGTGTTTAGAATTACGTGCATTTACTAAGCAGATGTGCATAAAATTACACGCACTTACAAGTTTAAATTTATATTTTCTTAATCGGTATTACAAGATATCTTAGAACTTGTTGACATGAACATACAGAGAGAGGAGGATGGAGACAGAAAATAATGAATTGACAAATCAGACAAATTTACCTTACCTGATAAAAATCATGAACATATAAAGCTTTTTTAATATTTTGAATGGATTTGCAAAAAACACATATTTCCTTTTCTATTGGCATGGTAAATAGGGTTAAACTTGATGTATATTTCACACTTGCACTTTTATTGACTGATAGTGTTAGGTCTAATACGAAATAAATTAAATGTTCCTGTTTTCGAAGAGTAAATTATTTTCAAAAAAAAAACATTAATAATATAGAATCACTTTCCTTTTATTTTGTTATTCATATTGTTATACTTATGCAAAATAATTAAAGGGATCGATTAAGTCGTGTCTCTGATAAACTAACAGTGACAGCATAATTGTTTTTCTAAGGTAGGATTCATCAATAATTTTCGAAATTTTAAGCAATCAATTGATTTATAAAAAATCTTTCTTTAAATTGTGGAGATCTGGGGCTAGTAAAATAAATTATTAAGGGTACTTAAGTCTAAGACTATGCATAAGTAAGACTTCAATACTTAAACCCCAGTCACATTTCCAAAAACGACCAACAGCCGATGGTTTTTGAAGCAGAAATGGGATTCTTCAGGTGACAGCTGGCAGTTCATCGACCGTTGTCTTGCCCGCTTTTGACCTATTTTTCTGTCGGCCGACCAATTCTGTGTCTATCGGTCCAAGCTGTATTTTTTCTGCGTCAGTGGCCGATTTCTTCTATTGAAGTTATCCATCGACCAACCTTCGATCATCGTCCGACCATCAGCGGTCAGTTTATTAAGTTGGTCGACCGTCGTTCGACAAAAAGGGTGTCCAAAATCTCCGCCGACGGTTAAAATCAAACTGTAGTTCGATGATCGGGCGTCGATTGGGCGACTTGTGAATATTTAAACTATTAAGGATACATAACATTAAACAAAATTTTAATGCATGGATTGATATATATTTTTTGAACGGAAATACTTTTGGTAATATCAATAATTAATCCGTAATATATAATGAAAATCTTAAGCATTCTTTGCTCCTTAGATATGCGCCATTTGTCGTTTTTTTATTCAATTCTATACAGATTTTGCACACACTTTTAATATTGTGTCACGATCTTACAAAGCTCTGCTATTTTGCCTTGCAAACAATACTCACGTCACCTATCTGAACATAGATCTATGAAAAATATATCTGATTTCTAAGGAAAAAAGATTGTTTGTGTTATTTATCCACGTCATTGGTGTTCCTAGGAATTAATGTGACTGCTCCGTGTCGCCCGACAAGACCAGAAAAATTTAGTCGCCCGATCATGGCTTAAATGTGACCTAGGCATTAATACATTCTTAAGCTTAAGACAGCAACTTTCAGCGTGCTACGATATCAAAATGGTAACATCGGTTAGTCCTTAAAGTATCAGTCACATTATCCAGCGATGGGTATACGATAGGCAACCAATGCGTTTTATGAGAAAAATGGCGTGGTTGCCGGCCGGACTTACAAAGGCCCAGCGATGCATTGCTAATCATAAAACGATGTTCCAGGATAATCGGGCGATGTATATTACATCGCTCATATATTGGTGAACATTGTTCGTACATCGGTCGATATGGGCCAAAAATTGATCGGTCGTTATCTGTTTAACACTACTCAACCCCCCCCCCCCCCCCCCCCCCCGATGACCTCAGATTCAACGACTATTGGACGATGCGCGGCCATACATCAGCCGATCCTTCAAAGATGTTTTAATGATGGGTTGCCGATGAGGAGCGATGTGAGGCATCATTGGAGACATGCTGAATTTTAACTATTCTTTCCTACCGATCATTAGTCACCGTCCGACAAGTGGTGCCCGGCCGGCAACCAAATGTATACCCCATCGTTGGATAATGTGACTTATACTTAAGCAAGTTCTGGGCGGCCGGTAGAGGTGATTTAAGTATGTCTTATGTATCATATACAAAAATTTAGAATTAGATATTGTTAAATTCCGGCATGAACACATTCATGTGATTTTTTTCAATTAAACAAGATGAATATATACATGTACATGTTACAGTACAGCGAGATATATAGATTTTAATAATTTGTACATTAGATTAATATTGCTAAATTTGTAAAAAATTGACTTTGGTACACACATTCATAAATTTATTTGTTTGGATTGATGCTTAATACGTTATAAAAACTACTCACTATAAGTAAACAATTGTACAAGAATGACAGCCTTACATGTATTTGAGAAATTTTAGAAAGAACAGGACATTCAATGACAGAGTGTTTCTTAGAGAGTCAGAGGATGATGAATATCTAATTTCAAGTTATCGCCTCCACAGAGATCTGATAGAAAGAGTCTGTGAGCTGATTACATGAGAGGTGGAACGCGAGACAAAAAGAAACCACGCTTTGACAAGTACTCACGGCTCAGCGATACTATATGTAACCGGTAGTCTTTTTAGTGTTTTAGGAGATGCTCTCGGTATGTCTAGAATGACAGTGTCAGGGGTGATATCACTGGTATCAACGAGTATTGCAAATCATGTAGACGAATATATACGATTTCCAAACTCCAGTACAGAGAAAATCAATGTAATGCAAAAGTACCACGAGTTATCAAGGTTTTCTAATATTTTGCGTTGCATTGATGGAATTTATGTTCCAGAGAATCCTATTAAAACACCTCAAAAGGATGAACACTTGTATGTCAGCAGAAAGAACTTTCATTCCTTAAATGTACAAGGTGTGTGTGACTTCGACCTCCGATTAACAAATTTAGTGGCCAAGTGGCCTGGAAGTTCCCATGATTCCTTTATATATGTAAACTCTGCTCTTTCATTGAACTTTAGATGTGGTAAGTACCAGTATTTAATAGAATAACTTTTAAGCATAATTTTAAATGCTCTTTTTTATGCATTAAACGCAGCTCAAATTTGATATACAGATGAAATATCTTTTAATATTTGTATTTAGGAGAAATAGGCGAAGGGTGGCTTCTAAGAGATTCGGCATACCCCCGCAGACCCTGGATGCTGACTTCATATCTACAACCTTCGATACGATACATGTCACACAAAGGCGAGAAACACAATGGAGCGCTTTGGAGTGTGGAAAGGTCGTTTCCGATGCCTTGATAAAAGTTTAATGACAATTTTATCTACGACGGAAGTGTGAATTACGGAAGAGAGACAAAACCGCATCTTGTATGATGACTTTTTAAAAATTTTATTGGCAGTCACTGAATTCTGCTGGTAAAATAAAGTTTTCAACATTATTGTTTTCGATGCAAATGGGAAATCACCGTCTGCTTCTTTCTTCCTCTAATTGTTATCTT